CCAGTCTGAAATTTTTGGCTCCGCCCAGGGCTAAGAAGGGACGCGTGGATAACTTGTCTCTCCTTGAATTTACTTTGGTGGCCCCCGTGCCGAACAACGCCAGCCAGGCCGCATTGAATGCGCTTTTCAGTAAGAAGAGAAGGCGCGCGAAATCCACCGCGGACGTCAGCAAGGGAAAGCAGCCCATGTAATCCGGCAAAACTAACGCCCGCGTTCCGCCTGCACTCCAAAGGGGAAACAAACCAAAAAATCAGCAGCCAACTGGAAAGTTCAAGTGTACTGCGGCGCGGACAGTTTTACATTTCGCGAGGGCAGCGGGATGCCGGCCGTCTGATGGGGAAGAGCCCGGGGCTACAGAAGTAAAGCTGCGAACTGGAAGTCACGGAAGAAGGGCAATACGAGAGAAGGTCGCGCTGAGTCTGGACAGATGTCTCCACGAAGGGGAATCGGAATGCCTGCCAATACGCCGCCTGTTGTTTTGAACCAGACTGGCCCGCGAAATCTCGACGGAAACGCGCCCGGCCGCCAACAAAAAACACCCTGTCGCCTGGTGAATTCTTGACGTCTCGCGAATCCCCACCAGTCCATCCAAAAAACAATCACCAGGCGAGTTGGCCTGATCAGGGATGCGTAGTAGCAGCATGCGGGGCGGCAGTGGGCCGCATCAGTCTTCGCGGATTCGTAGAAGCAGGAAGAAGCGAACTAGGGGAGAAGAGGGAGGATGATGGGGCGGAACCTGGGCAAAAGGATGAAGAGAAGGAGGGGGGTGGGCAGGAGAAAAAAAGAAACGTGCCAGAGCATGAGAAGGTCAGACGGGGGAAGAGGAGCTTGAGGGATGTGGGAGAGAGTGCGTGGTGCGCAAATGGGAGGCAACAGGCGCACAGGTGGTCCGCGTGGATCACCGGTGCGGCGTGCGCCCTGGCCAGCAATGCTGTAGGAAGAGGTGGGAAGAGGCAGGAGAAGCAGGAGGACATAGGAGGAATGGGAGGGGCAGGAACAAGCAGGAGGAGGCAGTTGCAGGTACGATGCCCAGGCAAGTTTCGTTAATCAAAGAAGTGCAACAACACGCAATGCAACAACAAAAAGGAGAACCATTAAATTAGAAAAATGAGGAGCACGCAGGAATAAACGGAATATGCGCAAGAGCGGGGAGGGAGGACAAGGAGGAAACGGAGGAAGAGGGAGGAGGAGGACGAGGAGCAGGAAGACGAAGGTTGGGAAAGGAAGGAGGATACGACCGACGACGACAGGAATCAATCATCGAGGCCTTTGCGAGTCTTTCGCTCTGGGTACCCGTTGGAGGCCCCTTGGGTTCATCTCGGGGCCTCTTGGGGCCGCTTTGGAAGCCTCTTGGTCCTCTCGGGGTTCTCTTGGGGCCCTCTTGGGGCCCTCCTGGAGGTCTCTTGGGCCCCTCTTGGAGGCCTTTGGGGCCCTCTTGGGGCCATCTTGGAAGCCGTCGGTCAAGCAAAAGGGGGGTCCCTAACAACCCCCCCCTGCTCTTGAGCCCCTAATGTCGCCTCGTGGGGACCTCTTTGGACGCTATTGGGGCGCTCTTGGGGCCGTTTTGGGCCCCTGATGGGCCCCTCTTGAGGCCCTCTGTGACCAGCTCTGAGCCATCTTGAAGCCTCAAGAGCCCATCGGAGGAGAAAAGGCGAGAAAGCAGAACACATTGAAGCACACAGTGGTTTTGAAGGATTTGGTCCTCTTGGAAGCCTCTTTGGAGAGGTCGAAGGGGCACTTGGGGCCGTCTGTGGGTAGTCTTGAGCGCCTTGGAAATATGATGGAAGCTACATTGAAACAACTAGGATCTTGGCGGCCTTCTCGGGCTCCTTGCGGCCCCCTTGGAGCCATCCTGGGCCGTACTGGGCGCTGCAATAGCACGCGGCCGCCCCCCGTCCAGACACAGGGAGGCGTAGACGGGATGGGGGAAGGGGGGGCCCTCCCAGAAGGGGAAGAAAAGGGCTGGAATAAATAACTCGCTAAACCACTCACGAACTAAAAGGCTGGTGGGATTCTTCCGCGGCCGCCTGGGAGAACTGCCCCGGATTCCTGGGTGAATTCTGCCCGGGCGCTTCCGATACAGCCCTGGAAACCTCTCCGAAAAACGCGTAATGTTTCCCGGGCGCCCTCCAGATTTGTCCGCGCGTGTTTTTTTTTTTTTTTTTTTTTTTTTTTTTTTTTTTTTTTTTTTTTTTTTTTTTTTTTTTGTTTTTTTTTTTTTTTCGACACGCGCGCCCGAGGAAAAATCCACAAAGTTTTCGTGGAGGTATTCTGGCCGAGTTTTTTTGTTTCTCCTCGAAGTTTTCACTAGGCCTCGCGGAAAGCCTGGAGAAAAAAGGGGGGGAGGGTTCAAGAGAAGTGGGGGGGCGCACGCCACAGAAGAGGGACGGAAGGGGACAGGAATCCCGCCAGCCCTTTAGGGCGTGAGTGGTTTAACGAGTGCGTTCTTCCAACCCCCCTGTTCCACTTCGGGGAAGGGGTTTCCCCTCCCCCTTACCACTCTCCTCTCGGCCTGGACGGGGGTGGCTGCGTGTCGTTGGAGAGCTCAGTGCGGCCCAAGATGGCTCCAATAGGGCCTCAGGGAACCCGAGAAGTCCTCCAAGAGCGCTGTAGATATCCCAAGGCGAATGGATCAATATAGCTTCCAAGACGCCTCCAAGAGCCCTCAGACGCGCCCCAGGACGGCCCCAGGTGCCCTTCGACCTCTCCAAGGAGGCCCCCGAGAGGCCCGAATCCATCAAAACCATTGTGTGCTTCAATGTGTTCAGCAGGGGCCCAAGACGGCCACAGCGGCGCTCAAGAGTATCCAAAGAGCGCCCCAAGAGGGCCCCACAAGGCGACTGTAGAGGCTCAAGAGCGGCGGGGGGCCCTGTTTGGGACCCCCCTTCCTTGACCGACGGCTTCCAAGATGGCCCCAAGTGGGCCCCAACGACCTCCAATAGGGGCCCCACACAAAAAAAAAAAAGGAAGGCCCCAAGAGGGCTCCAAGATGATCCAAAAGGTCTCCAAAAAAAGGCCCCAAGATGGCCCAAAAATGACCCCACGTGGCTTCTTACAAGCACCCAGGGTGGAAGACTCGCAAAAGGCCTGGATGATTGATTCCTGTCGTCGTCGTGTCATTCCTCTCCTCTCTTTCCTCTTCCTGCTCCTCGTCCAACTCCTCCTCCCCCGCTCCTCCGTTTCCTCCTCCCTCTCCTTCTCCTCCCTCCCCGCTCCTGTTCATCCTCCGTGTCCTGCTTCGTCCTCGTGTCCTTTCTGATGAAGGGACTGCCCCCCTCCAGGTTGCAAAACATGCTGCTGCACTTCCCTGATTAACGCAACTTGCTTGGGCATCGTCTCTGCAACTACATACTCCTGCCTGCTGTTGCATCCTCCTATTTCCTACTACATCCGCCTGCTGTCCCCGCCTCCTCCGGCATATTCCTACATGCTCGCTTGCCAGGGCACTCGGCGCACGGGTGATCCATGCGGATCACCGGTGCGCCAGTTGCCTCCTCCTGGCTACTCGTACCTCCTCTTGCCTCCCTCAAGTTCCTCTGCCCTCTTCCTACCTCTTCATGCTCTGGCACGTTTCACTTCCTCCGTCCCCACCTTCCTCCTTCTCCCCCTCTCCTTTTCATCGTCTCTCTTCCTCCTCCTCCCCCCTGTTCACTCCGACTTAATTATCCCCTCGTCCCCCTCTTGAGAACTCGCGAAGACGGATGCTGCTCACTGCGGAGCCGCATGCTGCTACTACGCATCCCTGATCAGGGCAACTCGCCTGGTGACTGTTTTTGGCTGGACAGGTGGGCATGCGCAAAGCATCGAAGGTTCCGCAGGGCGGGGCGGAGGAAGGGCTGGATACCCCTCACCATGGAACATCTGTGAGGAGCCAGGTGTGAGGGCTGTTTTGGGCCCCCCACAAGGCTTTTCTGGGGGATCCTAGGGCTTGCTTGCAACCCTTTTTGGGCCCTCCTGGGCTCTCCTGGGGCCCTCTTGAGGCTCTCGTGGCAGCCCCTTGGAGCCTCCCGCGGGCCCTGACGGAAGAGGGGGGCGGCGGGAGGGAACCGAAGATAACGATAATGACGGCAAGAGGGGGATAATAATAATGAATACGATGAGGAAGAAACCGGAGAATGGAGGAGGGTCGAAGCCTGCTGTCCACGCGGCAATCACACATGTGGTCAAACCACATGATCGATGGACGCGCGCAAACGAAACAACAATCAAATGGAAAGTCAACGAGACAAATCCACGCTGAATTCACTCTTGGCAGTAGCGACGCCCGAATTTGGGCGCGACCTCCCGCGACAAACATCCCACAACAACTGAACCGTCCAAACGCAAGACGGGCTCGGCCAAAAAAAAAAAAAAAAAAAAAAAAACGTCGGCGAATCCAACATCTGGCGAACTCATCGCGCGCTTCGTGGACTCACAAGGAGCTCCACCTGGAGCCCCACTAGGGGCGTTCGCATGCGCCCCTACCGCCCATTCCGGCACACCTCTCAAACACCGCGTGGCCCCGCAAGGGGCTTCGCCTACGGCTCCAACGGAGACGACCGCGCGCTTCCCCGCCGCGCATTTTTCGGCGCACCCCTCACGCGCTCCACGGCCCCACAGGGAGCTCCACCGAAGGCCCCAGTTGCGACGCTTGCACAAGTCCCCGACGCCCGTTCCGGCGCGCCCTCACACGCTTCGTAGCCCGGGGCCACCTGCCTTGCTGCGCTCACACTTGTATATAGTTGGGTCCCGCCAGGATCATTTGATTTCGTCGCCTTCTTTTTTCTGCGCCCGCCGGCCTCGGGGGGCCGTTCCCGCGCCCCAGGAACGTCAGAAACAGACCTGGGCGGAACGACGACACCTCGAGGGAAGCCCCCTGGACGCTTTGTCTCGACACGACCCTCACAGTTTGCACTACTTTTACAAAGGGTGCAACAATGCGTTACAACGCACGCGCCTGTAGGAGCACGCCGTCGTCGCGCGCGGCGTCGCCGTCACCAATCGCCGCCGCAGTGTCTGACTCAGGGAGGAAGGGCTCTGTTTTGAGTCGGCGCACGGACCCGTTGCCACGCCGGGCGCACGTTGGGAGGGGAGCAGAGAGGCGGGCAGCAGAAACATGAAGCGGGGGGGGCGCAGGGGATGACAGGAGGCTTCGCACGCACCGGGTCATCCATCAGCAAGGCGCTCACTTTGCTCGGCCCCATGCGCTCGATCAGGTCCTGCATATTGTTACTATTCCTTTGGGCCGCACCGTCCCCGAGGTTCTTCCCCACCGCCTCCTTCGCGGAAGCGAGCAGGGCAGCCACAAATTCCGCATTGTAGCTGACGGTGTGAACCATTGCTGCGGCTTCCTCGGGTCCGGGTTCTCGAGAGCAGAGGCGTCGCTTGGTGATTGCCGAATTGTTTTGAACCATAATGCTTACGGAACGTCAAGACCGTGAGGCTCGAAGAGCCGACACCGAAGGATCAAAAAACAACGTCGCCATGGACGCTTGGCTGCCACAAGCCAGGAATCCCAGATGGGTATTTTATGGGGTGGGCTGGTGGGTTCTCTGGTGACGCGCCCACAGCGCGGCATTCTTTAGATCTCGGTCATCAACCTGTCGATGTGATCAATCTTCGCTGCCAGCTCCTGCGGCGTGAGCTCCCGTGGCTCGCGCTGCTCTCCTCGCGTGAACCAGACAAACTCCCGCCGGTCCTGCGGGCCGAGATGGCAGCACCACCGCGGCAGCAGCGAGGCCACGCCAGCCAGCCACAGCATGGTGATGAGGCTCTCTTCGGCGCGGGCCCGCGTCAGCTGGATGTATTAGGATGCAAATCCTGGAAGATCTTCCTCAGGAACGATTGGGGCGCCATCAACTTCCGTCTGACCAGACCACAATTGACCCGGATCAGGCGGGATCAGGCCAGGCTGATCGGGATTGAGCCAGCGCCGATGCTGAATTCTGCCCCCCAGGAGTTGTACCCTAATGATGTGCACCATGTCCTTGTTTCTATTGTATGCGTCCCCCATCACCTGGATAACAATGTTCGCCATGGACACCATGAAACTCGATACCAGGAGTACGAGGTAACCGAAGCCTATTTGCGAGACCTCCGTCGAATCCAACTCACTGATGGCATTCGGGTTGGCGTCTAAGTCCAACTCCGTCGAAATGAAAAGATGAGGCTTCATCTCGCCGATGAATCCCATTAGGCAGGTGTCGATCAAAATGGTAACCAGCGGCATCTTAGTCAAAGCGTATGAAGCCTGGGTCGAAGCCACAAATAGGAACGCGCTCACCAAGACAAAAAACGCCATGTTGCCCCATGCGCTTACAATGGGAGGACATCGTGTGCCGATGGTGGTGAACGGGCTGGCCAGAAACAACATCTGTATCCACAACAGCGCGCCACAAGAAGCCAATACATAGACGCCACAGAACGAAACCTGACAGACATACCTTCCCTCCACAGCTGCACGATGACAATTAGCTGCACAACCGTTTGGAACCACCACACTAACAAGCGGTTGCGCCTCAGCCAGTAGTTCTCGAAGCAACCAAAAGTGACGCGATGCCCCTGAACACCGAGCAGCAATTTGCAAATATTGATCAGCCAGGGCACCACGACAAAAAATAATCCAATCAGCCCTCTGGGCTAAAGTGGTTTTAGGAACTTCTTCTTATAATCTCTTTATCTCTCTTCGGAACGGTTTACCACGGCTCCTTGATACTAGACGCCCCCTTCCCCATTCGACTGGCGACAAACAAGGAGCAATGCCGAACCCACGATCATCCCTGTCAACCAGAAGCTGTAAATTGCGCTTGGCGGCAAAGTGTAAATCATGTTCGGGCGCCCCATGGACACATTGCATTATCATTCCCAACCATCCCGTGTTGCGTCCGCGCTTTGAAGAGACAACGACCCGCGTTTCCCGTCCTCCTCCCCCCCCCCGCCTCCCATCCCTGCCTCTGCCATCCGCATGTCAAACATTGCAACACACCCCTCACGCGCTCCGTGACCCCAAATGGTGGCTCCACCGACGGCCCCAACGGCCATGACCGCACGCGGCCGCCACACCCGTGTCGGCAAAACTCTTACACGACTCGTGACCTCATAGGGAACTCCTCCGAAAAAACCGGTGGCCATGTTAATATGCGGCCGCCCCAAACATTCGGGCACACCCCTCACACGCTTCGTGGCCCCATAGGGAGCTCAAACGAAGGCCCCAGAGGCCATGTCCAGATGCGGCCGTCCCACCCATTTCGGGACACCCCTCACGCGCCTCGTGGCCCAGTAGGGAGCTCCATGGAAGGCCCCAGCGTCCATGTCCACATGCGGCCGCCTACCCATGTCGGCACACCCCTCACTCGTTCCGTGATCACATTGGGAGCTTCTCCGAAGGCCTCAATGGCCATGTCCTCACGCGGCCGCCCCACCGACTTCGGCACAACCCTCGTACGCTTCGTGGCCCCATGGGGAGCTCAACGAAAGGCTACAGGGGTCATGTCCAGATGCGGCGGCCCCCCCTTCAATTCGGCACACCCCTCAGACGCTTCGTGGCCTCATGGGGTGAACCCAATGGCCATGTCCACATGCGGCCGCCCAACACATGTCGGCACTCAACCCCATACATACGGAACTCCAACGAATGCCCCACTGGGCATGTCCAAACGCGGTCGCCCGACCCATTCCGGCACACCCCTCACACGCTGCGTGGCCCCGTAGAGAACTCCGCCGAATGCCCCAGTGGCAGTGTCCACATACGCCCGCCGCGCGGCACACCACTCACACGCTTCGTGGCCCCAGGGGGAAGCTCCGCCGAAGGCCCTTGTGTCGATGTCCACATGCGGCCGTCCCATACAGGTCGGAACACCACTCGCCCGCTTCGTGGCACCATGGGAGCACCGAAGGCCCCAGTGGCGGTGTCCACAGGCGGCCGCCCCACACTTTTCGGCACACCCCTGACCCAGCTCGTGGCCCAGTAGGGAGCTCCACCGCAGACGATACTCACAAGGACGGTCAACGCAATTGCGTGTGGTTGAGTCTCTCGCCAGAATAATTTGACAGGGACGGCGGGGGCGGCATCACATTGCTCTCTGAACGCAAGTCCACCATCACTGTCACAAGACCACTATCCGGGCTAAGGGCCCAACCATATGCAATTGTGAGTACGGCAGTGCAGGCGGGACGACCGAAGGGGGAACTCCCCATGGGGCCGCGAACCGCGTGAGGGGTGCGAAGCGCGCGAAGGGTGTGCCAACCTGGGGCTTACCGCATGCGGGCTGTGGGGGAGACGCACACGACGACGGCCGCTGGGGCGTTCCGTGGAGCCTTTCATTGGGCCACGAAGCGTGCGAGGGGGATGCGGAAACAGGCGGGGGAGGCGCGCGCGAAAACGGCCGCAACGATTTGCTGTGGAGCTCCTTATGAGGCGACGAAACGTGAGAGAGGTGTGCTGAAATGGGTGGGGGAGGCGCGCGCGACCTTCGCCACTACGACCTTCGGTGGAGCTCCGCACGAGGCCACGAAACGTGAGAGGGCTGTGCCGGAATGGGCGGGAAAGCGCATGCGAGCTGCGCCGCTGGGGCCTTCGGTGGAATTATCTATGAGACCACGTAGCGTGTGAGGGATCTGCCGACTTGGGCGGGGGAGGCCCATGCGAGTTGCGCCACTGGGGCCTTCGACGGAGGGGGCTGCGAAGCGTGTGAAAGTGTACGCCGAGATGGTCAGGGGGAAACGTGCGAAGGTCGCCGCCACTGGATGGGGCCACGAACCGTGTAAAGGGTGTGCCGAAATGTGCGACGCGGACGCATGAGAACATCGCCGCCGAGGCCATCGGAGCTCCCTATGAGACCACGAAGCGTGTGAGGGTGTGCCGAAATGCGCGGCGGGGGCGCATGCGAACATCGCCACTGGGGCTTTCGGCGGAGCTCCCTATTGAGCCACGGACGGTGGCAAGGATGTGCCGAAACGCGCGGGGCGAACGCATGGGAACGTCGCCACTGGAGCCTCAGGCGAAGCCCCCTGTGGGGCCACGCAGGGAGTCAGGGGTGTGCCGAAATGGGTGGGGCGGAGGCATGGGAATGTCGCCACTGGGGCTTTCGATGGAGCTCCCAATGGGACCACGGCCCGTGTGAAAGGTGCGCCAATATATGCCAATCTGTGCGGCGGGTCCTTCGGTGGAGCTCCCTATGGGGGCAAGGACCGTGTGAAGGGTGTGCCAAAATGTACAGCAAGGACGCGTGGGAACGTGGCCACCGGGGCTTTAGGTGGAGCCCCCTTATGGTGCCAAGAAGCGTGCGAAAAGCGCGCCAAGCTGTGCGGCGCGAGCGCATGGGAACGTCGCCACTGGGGCCTTAGGTGGAGCTCCCCTGTGGGCCACGAAGCTTGTGAGGCCGTGTGCCGAAATAGGCGGGGCGCGGGCATGTGGGCGCACTCATTGTGGACTCAGGCGAAGCTCCCTACGGGGACGCGAAATGCGTGAGGGGAGTGCCACAGTGGGTGGGGCGGACAGGTGTGGACACACCGAGTGTGACCTGAGGGGGAACTGTCTATGGGGGCACGGAACGTTTAAGGAGTGGGCCGAAACGGGAGGGGGCGGGCGCGTGTGGACACATCCATTGTGACCTGAGGTGGAGCACCCTGGGGGGCCACGAAACGTGTGAGGTGTCTGGGTCGAAATGGTCGGGGGGGGGCGCATGTGGACTGAGCCACTTAATCAATCAATCAATAACGCCGTGTCTGCACGACACATCGGCTGAAAAAGTGCCGCCGGCTGGAGGCGCATGTCCAGACCGGGGCACAGAAATCAAGGACAGTTCAAGAAAAGGTGTGCAGGCAGGCTAGCGATTGTCCTCCACACGTGCGGGTTATAGTGTCCAGGACTGAGCCACTGGGACCTGCGATTGAACTCCCTACTTGGACACGAAACGTGAGAAAGGGGTGTGCTTGAAAAAGCGGGGCGGCCACATGTGTACCCACCCGGTTCGGCCTGAGGTGGAGCCCCCTACAAATCCACGAAACGTGTGAGGGGTGTGCCGAAAAATGTGGAAGGCGCAAATGGACACATCGCCTATGGCCTGAGGTAGAACTCCCCATACGGGCACGAAACGTGTGAAGGGGTTGCCTAAATGTGTGTGGCGGACCCATGTGGTCAAACCCAGTGTGGCGTTTGGTGAAGCTCCCTGTGGGGCACGAAGCGTGTGAGGGGAGTGCCGAAATGCTGACGGAAGACGCATGTGGAAACACCCAGTGTTAGGTGAAACTCCCTGAGGGCTGCACGAAACGTATGAAGTGGAGTGCCGACATTGGTGGTGCCGATGCGCGTGAACACATCCAGTGTGATTTGAGGTGGAGCAAACATTGGGCAATATGCTGCTCCCCCCTCACAATCCCTGTCAAACAAACGTTGAACGTGACGGCAATGACGGCGAGACTGCCAACATTGTGAATTATGTGCTTAGCCGGAACCATTGTGCATCATATCCCATCAATACTGTTGTGTTGAGTCCTCGCTTCGAGGAGACAGCATCCCGCGTCCTCCTCTCCTCTCCTCTCCTCTTCTCTCCTCTCCCCCTGCTCCTCCTCCTCCTTCTCCTCCTCCTCCTCGTCCGCCTCCTCCTCCTCCTCCTTTTCCTCTCCTCCTCGTCCCTCCCCCCTCTCGTCCCTGCCTCTGCCCATGCGTCCGCTCCCTCGCGTCTCGGTCCACTCCTCGCACGCTTCGTAGGGAACTATACCAAAGGACACTCCGGGTACGTCCACATGCGTCCGCCCCACCCATGTCGGTACACGTCTGACGGGTTCCGTGCCCCCGTGAGTGGCTCCACCTGGGGCCACACTGGGTGTGCTCACATGCGTTAGCCCCGCCAAATGCCGACACACCCCTCACACGTTTCATGTCCCCACAAGTTGTTCCACCTGAAGACACACTGGGTCTGTCCACATGCGTCCGCCCTCCGCATTTCAGCACATCCCTCACACGTTTTGTGCCCCCACAGGGAGCTCCGCCTGAACCCACGCTGGCTGCGTCCACACTGGGTGCTCCAATGTCGGCAAACGCCTCACACGCTTCGAGGCCCCATAGGGAGCACCACCTCAAGCCACGCTGGGTGTGTCCGCGCACGCCCGCCCCCCACACATCCCGGCAAACCCGTCACAAATTTCACATTTCGCGCCTGGCACGCCTGGGCTCATCGGGCACATGGCGCACTGGATGCGCGTGTCGCACCTGGCATGCGCGGAGCACCTTGCAAGCGTGGCGCACCTGGCTGGCGCATGCAATGGTGCCCGATGGTTGTCGAACACGGTCCCTGCCTATGCTGAGACTCCAATGCGACTTGCGTAGAGGGAGGGAGGGTGTGAGTAGGACGGGTGGGATTGAGCGAGACAGCTTGCGGCGCTCCCGATGGGAACTCGACCCCTCCCCCTCCCGTAACCCCCGCTCCTGGGTCTGGACAGGGTGTGTGGGGGGGGCGAGGTGTCAAAAGGCCCTGTGTTGCTAAAGTTGGCTATCGGATAAACCAAGACGGCCTCCGATATGGCCCAATATAACCAAGTATTATTTGACATGGCCTCCATGGTGCATCCAATAGGCCACAAAACCATTACAAGACGGCTGCATGTGGTCACGGGGCCTCCCAAGAAGACCCCTGGGAGGCTGACGCTCTCCCAAACTATTGTCTGATGGCATGCTCGCATCCGAGGTGCTCCCCAAGCCTCATAAAAAAAAAGGCTACAAGATGGCCCCAGGGACCCTGCAAAAAGAGGCCCAGGGGGGCTCCGAGACGCCCCCAAAACCGAAGCCCTTAGTGCGACGACTCGCGAACGCTTTCATGGTTGACTCCAGCTGCCGTCATCGTCGTCGTCATCGTCGCTCCCCCTCCCTCTCCCTTTACCTCCCCCATCCTCCTGCTTCTCCTCCTGTTCCTCCTCCCCATCAACATCCCGCCTCCCTATTCATCCCCCTCCCTTCTCCCTCATTCCCCACCTCGTTCTCCACTCTCTCATCTGCCTCCTCCTACGGCAACCTTGATAATTCCACTTCTGGGTACGTCTGCTTAAACGGAGTACGGGCTTAGGAATGACAGCTGACTCACCTGTCTGTTCCACTGCATGCTCCTACATTTCACGGGTGAAAAAGATTCACCTCGGGATCGTGGGCTATCCTGGGGATATATATATATATATATATAACAGCCGCAGGCGGAAGCGCCAGCGGCGGAAGGTCGCGAACGGGCCGCGGACGCGACTACAATCGTGGGGATACGCGAACTATCAATAATAATACAGAATCGAAAATGTCCCAATGGCAATGAGGTGGTACAAAAGAATGATGTGTCCGGAAGCGGGACGTGAACACCGATATCGACATCCACAAGAACGTGTTCATGATAACCTCTCCGATCAGATGAAACGAACATTGTGTGAAAGCGGCCGAGACGATCGCTTGAATTTGCTCGGACTCTAACGACTTGCCATTGGGCGTGAACACCAAAGCCCTCAGGACTATAGGATGAGTAAGACCTTTCTGCTTCTACCTGATCACCTTGACAACCACCTGCTTCCTGAGGTCAAGCATTGTCGCAACAGGCGGCCGCCCGAACTTCCTCTTCGCCAGAATCCCGTTGTACACTTCTTCGCTCGAAGGCCCACTGGAGAAGAGCATGGAAGATCCAATCGCGCTGGAGGGGCCCCGCTCTACCACTCCGGAGTATCCGAGAATCGGGAAAAAAAACGGTGTTTCTGAACATCGTCGAACCAATACGCGAATCCACCGAACGTGTTGCTCATGAAATCTCCATCTCCGAGCTGCCCTGGTCCAACGAAGCAGAAACGACGCGCGCCCTTACCTCTGATAGCTGGCAACGTCGTGGGAATCGTGTTGGGCTCTAACTGGTTCGCCACGTCCAAGGTCATGCTTTGCATGCCCCCCATTCGGAACCCGCGACTTGTACAATTGACTGAGAGTTGGTTCACGGCTATAGGCATTGCCTCCGCGTTCAAATACACGAACCCCCCAGCGGCAAAAAAGGCTGTCGGGTACACAAATGCGAACTTCTTTGTGTCCTCTGGCATCACTCGAAACAGACGATGCTCACGCATGAGATGCTCTGGAATGTCGAACGCTCTCGTACCCCTCAACTCGATATTATCGCTCGCAACCCGCAGCCTACCCGAATCTCCCCTTACCGCGTGCGTCATGTCTAGGGGAAGGAAAAAAAAACACATAAACATAAAGTTTTAGCGCTCCGCGCTCTTGGAGCTGCGCTGGACCCCTCTCCCTAGCGTGGGGAGCGCGCCAAGGGCGGCGCCCGAGGCCTCGCCAAGGGGGTCCCAGCGCGGATCCAAGAAATCCGCGCGGAGCGCCACAAGTTTATGCTCATCGCGTTTTTTCTTCTTCGGATGTCGCTCTTCCTCCACGTCGCGCGCGGGCTGAGGTAGAACGCTCCTAAAGGGGGCCACATGCGAACCCCACCCCTGCCCCGGCCGATTTTTGAGGGGGGGGGCAGGAGAGCCCAGAGTCGAATCGGTAAATCGGATCGGCGATCGAAATGAATTGGATCGGCGGAAATCGGCAGCCGATTCGAGAAAAGTCGAATCGGCGGAAATCGGCAGGCCGTTATGCCTCCAGTGAGAAATCGGAACCCAAATCGGAATCGGAAGTCGAATCGAATCGGAAGCCACCAAAATCGAATCGAATCGAATCGGACGAATCGAAACGAGCCCGGGAGGGTGGGGTTCACTTCGTTCGGGAGTTCCCGAGCGAAGCGGACCCTCACCACCCCCGCCCGATGCCGTGGGGCGGGGCGAGGCGAGCGCGCGAGATCGGCCCGGCGGGACCGGCCCTCATAGAGCGGCGCGGGGGGGCCGGAACCCTCAGGAGACGACGTCTTCCTTAGACAAGCCACGCCCGAAAGGGTTGGGTGGACTGCGTTGCGCAGGCCTTCTCTTGCACATGGTTTAGGACCGCTGTGCCAAGGTATTCTTCGCACGCTAGTATGCTAATGCAAGCTGCGCGCGTGCTCCGAGGTTGGTCCGTGCTAACAGGCTTATGCTGTGCTTCTGCAAAGGAGACGTGTCGGGGGCAGGAGTCGGAGCCGGAGCCAGAGCCGGAAAGGTGGAAATCAGAACGGGAGAAAACGACCATATAGGCTGCGGAGAGACAGGAGCCGGAGCCGGAGAGGCGGGGGGCAGAGTCGGAGAGCGGGCGGGGCTCGCATAAAACAGGGCTATGATCGGGATAAATCGCTCCAGAGCGTCCCGGAGCGCTCTCACAGCGTCCCGGAACGCTCTGGAACGGCCGCGGCGCCCAATACATCCTCCAGACCCGCCGACTCTCAGAGATTTCGAGTTATCCCCATCCGATTTTGTCCCGATCCCAGACCTCTTACGGTCGTGATTTTTTCATGACGCGTGCTTAAGTCATGAAAAAAATCATGCGTCATGAAAAAAATCAGGACGTTGGGCAAAAATCATGACATGTTAATAACACTCGCCCAAGCTGTGTATATCAAGCCTTGTCAGATCTGTCAATATGCCAATGTTTCGATGCTTGTCAATGCTGTCAAGATTGTCAAGTAATCAAGACTGCCAATATCTGCTATCAAACCTTGAGAAATGACCAAGACAACTCAACCAATCTACATTTTATTTCACTGAATACATATCAATATATACTTATATCCAGACCTGCCAATACTGTACTGACTTAAGATGCACGCCTGGACAAACGAGTGCATATCCAAGTCATTCATCACGCAAACAACATATACCCACGGGACAAGGGTACGCACGTGCGCTGTATACTACCAAGTGTTGCCCTGAGCTCCGTTAGCGCGGAGCCTCGTTACCGTGAGCCACGGCGAGGAGGAGGAGGAGGAGGAGGCCAGGAGGAGGAGGAGGAGGATCCTTCGCACCCTCCGCGGCGCTTTCACGACCATGCGCCGAGCACCGCGTTGCGGAGCTGCTGGTCGTACCACGCGTACGTACCTGCACAGGCGATCAGGGCTGGAGCTCCCAATAGGGACACGATCCGTGCGGGGCGGGTGTTCTTGGTTTGCCCAAGGCACCCGCCCGTCGGCACCGCCGACGCGTCCACCCACACCAACGCCATGAAGAGGGCTCGGTGCTAGCTGGGCGGTTGACGTGGAGCCACCAGTGGGCGGGGCGCCCGCCCACGATGGGTCCACCCAAAAAGAACCACCAGCAAGGCCACGGCCCCCACCCGTGCACGCAGACGCGCCGCGGCGCCCAATGGCGGCCGCGGCGCCCCGACCAAACGGGAGCAGGGCGGGGGCGGGGCGCAGGGGAGGCGGCCGAGCCCACGCGGCAGGGTGGGGAGCTTAAGTAGACCCCCCCTCCAGCAAAGCAAAGCTTCAAGCCACTCATGGCTACTTTGAGCTGCGGCGGGAGGAGGAGGAGGAGGATGAGGAGGAGGAGGAGGAGGAGGAGGAGGAGGAGGAGGAAGAGGAGGAGGAGGAGGAGGAGGAGGCCCGAGGAGGAGGAGGAGGCCCGAGGATGAGGCCCGAGGGGGAGGTGGGAGAGGGGGGGGAGGAGGGGGGAGGCAGGGGGGGGAGAGGAAGAGGCGGAGGCTCAGGAAAAGGAGGCCCTGCAATGCCAGCCTTCCATGGAGTGGGAGAGGAGAGAAAGGACGGAAGAGGCGGGAGGGAGGAGGATGGGGGGGGAGGAGGGAACAAGAAGACAAGAGCGTCCTCGATTTTGCTCCTGCCGCAAGCCTCCACATGATGAAATCAGTTGCCTGAAACAGCTTCGGCCGCAAGCCGCCAGTCGCGGAGGCAGGGACACACCAATGGCAGGCAGGGTAAACCATACATAAATACATATATATATATATGTACATACACACACGCGTGCATGCTGTATGTATGTATGCATGCATGCCTCCCTGCCTGCCTGCCTGCCTGCCTGCCTGCCTGCCTGCATGCATGTATGTATGTATGTATGTATGTATGTATGTATGTATGTATGTACGTATATATCATCCTCTCAACCCTGCTCGGCGCCAGCCTGCGCGCAGACGCAGGGTCGCGAAGGGAAACCACAGCCCACACGAATCCATAATCATGTGTTCGATGTGTGCACATAGGAACCACTTATAATCCATCTGCAGGACGTACTGGGCAACCCGAACGACGCGAAGAACCGCCTCACGAACACGATGGCCATGGTTGTCCCTGCACGGCAGAGTGCAGCCCAATTTACACCAAGCTCCTCTCGAAGGTCCCAGAGATCAGAGGATCTCAGGGATGACCTTCTCAAGGAACCTGACATAAAATGTGTTTCCGCCGTGAAGGGACATGGCCACCGTCTTCATAAGGCGGTTCTCCGCCTCGTCCGGGTACGTCCAGTACGCCCTGGGGTTGCCCTTCGCAACGACCTGCTCCGCCAAATGGACGGCCACGTGGAATTTATACACTTGGTGGCCTTTGTACTTCGTCCACGCCTGCAGAAAGTTCAACATATTCGTCTGGGACAAGGAAGGATAATGCAAACGCCCACGCAAGCCGGGGGGGGGGAGGAGGAAGGGTAGACGAGGGAGGATAGGCACGGATAGGGAAGCAGAGGGCGGACGGAGGAGCGGGGGAGGAAGAGAAGAGGGGGGAGGGAGGGGAAGGGAGTATATATATATATATACTTATCGAACCGAATCCAGCAAAGACGTGGCGCACGATGGATTTCGAACCACGAATCCAGCAGAAGACGCGGCTTACGAGGACAGCGGCGTTGGGCCACTGGTTGGGGTTGATGCAAAGTCCCACCTTGTCAATGGAAGGCATCAGCTGCAGCTTGGTTCATACGGCGCGGCTCCCCGTCTTGAGCTTTGTACACGTTGTGCAAGAACACGCACGCATCCTTAAGATGCTGTTTCCGTGGGCCTAAACTTGCGTAGCTCTCGTTGCGCAACTGCGGTAGCAGTGGACCTAAATGACGGGTATCAGCGGCCTTGGCCTTAAGTCTGGGCTTGCCGCCCGCCTTGGTCGGTTTGAACATTTTCATGGTAATGCGGTCTACGCTGCTCTTGTTGGAGTCCTTCTGGTTGGCACCGATCGATAAATAGTATGCTCTCATGCGCCTGCGTAAGTGCAGGATACTATCATGCAGGCGAAGGTTAACTCTGCGCTTGACCGAGTGCGAGAAATTGTTTTTTACCAGCTGCCAGAAAACTGATCCGATGACATACTGTGCAACTCCCAAGTCCATGACGCGCATGGCGTCCACGTGCAGCGTCTCTACGGAGACGCCTTTGATTGTGAGCATTGGTGCCACGATGTCCAATCCGTTGGAGTTCTTCGCATCGAAAAATACGAGCTCGGCGGGCAGATCGATCTCCGAGAGTCTGTGGACGTCGCGCACGGCCTCGCTTTCCACAACACGGAACCCAGTTTTGAGATCAAGGTCTGGACAGTTCTTCCAAAGGGCGAAGCCCCCATAGACTGAGTCTACCCGCATGCATTGCACAAGCTTGCGAAGCACGCGTTGGTTCTCAACGCGCACTCTCTTGATGCACGCATCTACCATCTCTTGATATACGACCTTGTCTTTTTTTCTCCAAGTGATCGCCTCGAAAGTTGGTGGGTGTTGAAATATCCTCGTCTTGTGAACGGTGCAAAAAGAACACGGGTGCCGCACATTCTGCCATGTTTTAAAGCCAAACGCCGACGTGAGCTCTAACAAGTCACAGCGTATTTCAGTCAGCGCCGCTCTCCATCCATCAGCGAGGGGCATGCCCCTGTACAGCTCCCTGTCCACATCAAGAGGGAGGCCCTCATGGTTGAAAGATGGGTGCGTGCCTGTTGCGAGACAGTTAAAGCTCCATCTAAGTACCCGAGATATCTGACCAAAGCTGCAATGCCCGTGGCACCCGCACTTGCAGGTATCTTGTTTGCGGATACAGCATAACATGTACCTCCTCTTGGTAAACGTATTGGACATGAAATATATCACGAACGTATCTTTCTTACTCCATGGTACTCCATCGGAAAAAAATCCAACGGATGTCGTTCGGCCTGGAGCCTCTTGTGCAACCTTGTGGGGGGAAACAAACT